TTCCTTTAAATACTATTTCTATATCAATGTTGGGGAGTGTTACTAAGATGACAATTAGTTAACATCTTGACATTAGTTATAGTAATAATTATTTCTTCCTCTACGTTAATATTGGGGAGTGTTACTAAGATGACAATTAGTTAACATCTTGATATTAACTATAGTAGGATTCATCTTCTTTAATATTCTTTCTTGAGTATTAATTAATTCCTATTCATATTTCATATTAATATTTTGAACATTACTTAAAGGATCAACTAGTTTTGTTTCATATATTAATTAATACTAGAATCGGTCGATTAATATGCTTGTTATTAATTCGGTCCTTTCACGGTAGTAAACTTGGATTATTAATGCATGCATCTCATGGTCAATAATCTAAGGGGGATTAATTACATTGATCAACCAACAAACCGCTTGTGTTGAGGTTATCAATCTCAATCGTTTTCATCTTAAGTTTATTGCTATTATCAAGTTAATATACGGCGCTTGTTCTATATTGTATCGATAGTAAGTTTTATTAATGAACGCATCTCGTTATTAATAACTACCCTCGATGAACTGGATATACTCCTTGATTGAGTATTCGAGAGGAAGATAGTTAAAAATATAACCGGGATCGACGAACATTTCATTAAGTGGATAAAAGCAAAGCCAAGTCTCCTTCTTATTAATTAAACCACATAACTCGTTCATCTTTGTGTTTTAATATTCTTAAAAGTTCTTCAACAACAAACCTAAAAAAACCCCTTCTTATTAGTTATAAAAAAGAGAAGTATTCATTTCCCATGCGGATACGAACCTTACTACGCTATACTACGTATAAGTGTTGTATTGTATTATTATTTTGAGTGCACATCACGACAAAGTGCACGTCAAATTTGGCGCCGTTGCCAGGGAAAGGCGGTAATTTTTCTTTTTATTTTAAATTAAAAAAAAATCAAATAAATAAAATATAAAGAGTCTTACTTTTTTTTCTATTTCCGAGCTTACATGAGTATATGGTAAAAACCCGTTCTATAAACGAACTTACTTACCAAACAAACCCCGAAATAGAACAAGCCTTCGAGAGGTTGGGAAATTTATTTCCGCACACACCCTCGGAGGAATCCTCAAACGCTAGCTCTAGCTCTAGCGAATCCGAAGAGTCATTCCACATGGCTCTCGAGACAAGGACCCTAAGGGAGCTCACTGCTCCAAACCTCAATCAACAACCGTTATGTATTACCTTCCCTACACTCAATGAGGGTAATACATTTGAGCTAAAATCTGGGCTCATTCATCTATTGTCATCTTTCCATGGCCTGAGAGGAGAAGACCCGAATAAACATCTTTCGGAGTTCCACATCGTTTGCACAAGCATGTGCCCAAACGGTGTCACCGAAGAGCAAATCAAGCTGAGGGCCTTCCCATTCTCTTTGAAAGACACATCAAAAGATTGGCTTTTCTATTTTCCTTCGGGAAGTATCAACACATGGGCGGCTATGAAAAAATGCTTCCTTGAAAGGTACTATCCCGCATCCATCTCATCATCTCTTAAGAAACAAATAAGCAACATTGAACAAAAGGATGATGAGTCCTTGTATGAATTTTGGGAACGATTCAAGAAGCTATGTGCTAGCTGCCCCTATCACGGATACACCGAACAAGACCTCATTCTCTACTTCTATGATGGTCTTGTAGATCAAGACCGCCGCATGGTGAATGCAGCGTGCGGAGGGGGCATTGTCAACAAAACCCCTTCCCAAGCAAGAGATCTCATCTCGGAGTTGGCCGAGAACTCTAGACACTACAACGGGAGGTCCTCAAACCGTAGAGTTGCCGCTGCGGAATCAACATCATCATTGGAAAGTCAAGTTGCCGGCTTAACTTCTTTGGTTAAGGATTTCCTTTTAAAATCCAAGACCCAAGAAGTCAAGGTCTGCGGCATTTGTACACAACAAGGGCATCCCACGGACTCATGCCCAACTCTTCAAGAAGACAATCTAGAGCAAGTCAATGCCTTGGGTTTCCAAGGCCATCAACAAAGGAGGTACGATCCATTCTCAAATTCTTACAACCCTGGATTGAGGGATCATCCAAACTTGAGATATGGAAACCCTCAACAATCCAACCCATCTTCTCAATCTAGTATGTCAACTGATGACATGATCCGAACTTTGACCTCAAACATGGTTACCCTGCAACAAAACATGGGACAATTTCAACAAACCATGATTCAATTTCAACATGAGACAAAGTCAAGCATTCATAATTTGGAAGAAAAAATTCCACTTTTGGTCCTATGAGTTTTGTACCAATTCCACATTTAGTCCCCGTCTTTCACTTTATCCATTTTTGGTACCTGACTATTGTTTTTTTGACCATTTTCGGTCCAACTCCGGGCATTTTTACTATCGGAAAAGGACTATATATGGTCAAGAAAAGTGGAATTTCTTGACCAAAAGTGGAATTTCTACTTTTGGCATTTTTACCAAAAGTGGAATTTCTTCTAATTTGGAAACTCAAGTTAGCCAAATTTCAAATGTCGTGAGCCGATTGGAAGCAAAAGACTCCGGTAAACTCCCATCTCAAACGGAGCAAAACCCAAGACAACATGTGAATGCAATCATGTTGAAAGAGGTAGAAAAGAACGACCAAGAGATTGAGGAGGTTGATCATGAAAAAGAATTTCAATCTGAGGAGAGAACCACAAAGGCGAAACTTCCTCTACTTTCATCGTATGAACCAGAAGCCCCGTTCCCTGAGGCGTTGATGGAGACAAAGAAGCTGGAGAAAGATACTGGCATCTATGAGACTTTCGCCAAGTTTGAGGTAAACATTCCACTCCTTAACTCAATTAAAAATGTTCCCCGTTTTGCTAAATTTTTAAAAGAATTATGCAAAACAAAACGAAAGGATAAGTCGAAAGAAAAACAAGAGGTCAAGGTTAGTGAACATATATCGGCTCTTTTTCAAAAGAAACTTCCCGAAAAGTGTAGCGACCCGGGCATGTTCACCATACCTTGCAAGATAGGGAACACCGCATTTTCTAAGGCCTTGTTAGATTTAGGGGCATCCATAAATGTCATTCCTTACTCTCTGTATAAATCCTTACAACTCGGCCCGCTACATCAAACTGGTGTAGTGATTCAACTAGCGGATCGATCTAATACATACCCAAAAGGTATAATAGAAGACGTGCTAGTAGAAGTAGAAAATTTGGTTTTCCCTGTTGACTTCTATGTCCTTGAAATGGGAAATGATGACCAAACAACACCCATCCTTTTGGGAAGACCTTTCTTGAAAACCACAAAAACAAAAATTGACGTGTCTAGTGGTTCATTAACTTTAGAGTTCGATGACCAAAAAGTAGAGTTCAATATCTTTGACTCTACGAAAAAACAAATTAAAGATCAATCTCTTTGTTCTTTAAATGTTTTTGAACCACAAGAACCAAAGTTTTTGAAGGAATCTGTTAAAATCCCAATCTCTCAAGGAAAAGAAGAAAGTAAACATGGGGAATCATCTTTAATTGGGAGGGAGCTGAAAAAATATGAACTAAATCCACCAGCAGATGAAGTGGTAATGAGAACAAAAATTCGGCCTTACTGGAAAAGGTCGAAAAATAAAATGGAAACATGGCCAAACAAGGCCGTTGAAAGCCGAAGGGATGTTCATGATCCCACATAAACCAAAAATGAAATATAAATAACGTCATGCCGCGACGTTAACTAAGGCACTTCTTGGGAGGCAACCCATGCTAAGGTACGCATTCTTTGTCTTTTCTTTTATTTTGAATGTCAACTTTGGGAGAATGGGAGGAAATTCTCAAAAGAAAATAAGGGAAAAATCATATTTTCAAAGCCTGGGGAAACCCCCGATCGGTCATCTTCAGTTACCCGGTCGGATCCATGCCGAAAAGAAGATTAAAATGGACCAAACAAGATTCCAGGCTAATGTACCCGATCGAGTAAAACTCCTACTTGGTCGGGTATAGGGTAAAAAAGAAAGATTTGGGATCGAGTACCCCATACTCGATCGACTAGAAGAAGAAAAAATGATCGAATACCCGATCGGGTATACCTCATACTCGATCGGGTACTCGACCCCTGGAGCCAATCTGAAATTCCGACGCCATACCCGATCGGGTATATTAATATACTCGATCGAGTATATTTCCAAAAAATCATACGGCGAGGAAAATCCGATCGAGTATACCCCATACTCGATCGGAGACACATCCCTGGAACCATTTTTGAAAAAAGAGGGCTATACCCAATCGGGTATATTAATATACTCGATCGAGTATATTTACGGAAAATCCTACGGCGAAGAAAACTCGATCGAGTACGGGGTATACTCGATCGAGCCTGATCCCGAAACAAGAACAAACAGAGGCATACCCGATCGAGTAATCGGGGTACCCGATCGGGTACACGAAATTTAAACGTGATACAGAAGCCGAAATCAGCCACTTCATGTAACACCGCCCCCAAGTATTTGAACTTTATCAAATTATGTATTGAACCCAAGAAATGAATAAACGCATTTTACGTGATTGTGAAATTTTATCAATTCTTTTACGTGAATAGTAAAATTCACGTGGGGCCCACACCGGAAGCGGGGGCCGCCCGATATTATCGGGACCACATATTATATTCATTTGGGTCAAGATAATATGTGGATAATGGTGGATATCCTTGTTGGGCCATAGAAGTTATGTGAGTAACCTTTTTGGCAAATAAAGCCCATTTATCGGTACCGGTGTACTGACAGATAAAAGCCATAATAAATTATGGAGACCGCTAAATTAAAAGTTGGGGGATGTACACTCATTCTTACATCCAATAATAATTGGAAGAATGATAGATATTTCATTTTACCCGATAAAATGAAACATAGTTAAAACAGTCCGGAAAATACAACTTTCGGGACCGAGTGTACACTCGGGGACACAAAGGGATGACCACCCATCTAAGTGGGGGCCATCCCCACGTTTTAGTCTTTCAAATGTCCATGGGAGCCGCACAAGGACATGGAGAAACAAGGAGGAAAATTTATTGAGAGCTCAATCAATTGGAAGGTGGGACCCTTGCCATAGTATTATTGTGAGAGATGCCAAAATGGCATTCTCAATCACACCAACTAATCCCATTCGTATCCAGCATCAACCAAGTGAGAGAAGCTCATCAAAATCTCCATTTTCATCCACCATATTCGAACCAAAGCTTAAGGAGAAGAAGGAGGGGAAAGAAAAGAGAAAGAAGGAGGAAAACTTGAGGATTAACAAGGTAATAACTCCATTAATCTCATCCCTCTTCATTAACCTTCCAATATGATTATATGATCATATTTCACACCCCTAGGACCATTCTACATGTTATATGGGAAGAATGAAGGGTTGGAAGGTTGGTTCATATCCAAAACGGATTTAGAGAACAAAGTTGACCGGTTCGTCGGAAAATAACCTTTTAGAGGTTATTTGTGTTGATATGGGTTTTATGATGATAAAACCTTGTTGTTAACTTGTATAAGGTACTTCAAGGACTTTCACGGAGTTGAAAGGGTCGCCGGAGTGTCGCCGGAGTTCGTTGAAGTTCACCGGAGTTTCACCGGAGCTCAATAAGAAAGGCTAGAACTTCATAAGCTTCTTTTGAGGTGAGAAGACGGCTATATGCTTTATAACTTTTGATTGAGGCATGAGATTACCTAAAGTAATCAAGGATATGTTTTACGGAATGATTAAAGTTGATCAAGTATGGGCTTATGCCATGATTATATATAAAACAAAGTTGAAAGGCATGTTTTGTATGTTTGGTGATTAAAAATGTGATAACTTATTATGTACAATGATCCAGGAGTCAAAAATGGTATTTTTGGATCAAGGACTTCAAGTAGAATATGCATGTAAAATTTCACGTTATTCGGACTCCATTTGGGCGGTCAAACGGACGTTGACCGCCAAGTCAACTACAATACCCGACCGGGTATCTGCTGAAAAATTGGCTCCAAGGGCTGATGCCTCCTATACTCGATCGAGTATGGATAGGTACTCGATCGAGTATGCCTTGGAAATTAGCCTTACGGGCTCCTGTCTCTTGTACTCGACCGAGTATTGGTGGGTACTCGATCGAGTATTGAGTTATACTCAAAACGGGTAGTTTTTGAGTGGGTTAACGTGGACCGATCAGGCGGGACCCGTCCACGTTGGTTACTAAGGATTGTTATATGACTATAGGACCAGGTATTGTCCATAGTTGAGTAAACGAAAGGTTAGCCATATCCAGGTTAGGGTGATGGATTATATGGACTCCGACCCCCCGGCATGCCGACTACTAGGCCTGGACAGCGGCCCACACACGTTTAGCGGATATCATTAATATTATTGTACATTATTATTATTATTCAGATGTTCTAGATTAGCTTTTTATACTATCAGTCCATTTATGTAACCGGGTCTGCCAGGCCCATATTAGAGGCCCAGACCCGGATTTTCCCTATATATACTCCTTATAGGAGGCTTGTAACTCATATAACCAATACTCATTCTATACACATTTCCTTCTTTTTCATCATTTCTTCTACACTCTTGTTCAATTTCTCCTGTTTATACAATATGGGTAGATTGTCCATCATTTGGTGCTCTCGTTGAGAGGTCAGAACAATCAAGTAAGAAACCCTCCCCCTCTACCAAATACAAAACACTTACCGAAAAATGGGAAGAACCACCCGTGCCCAATCCAAGACCCTTGAGGAAAACTACGTAGCCCCCGGCGAAACTAACGGGGCTGAGGCCTCCAACAGGCTCTTAGTACCCGAGGGCGGTGTCATCCTCGAATTAGAGCAAGCCACCGCTGACCTACGCCAACAGCTGCAGAAGAACACCCCTGATGCCCGCATCGGCCTTGATAATCGAAGGAGGGATCGGAGTGAGAACCAAGTTCCCCCTCCGGCCCCGGCCATCGATCTTCAGGCTGCCTTTGCGGCCTTTGTTCAGAACATGGCTCTCAATTCCGGAGCCATCGCCTCTCAGGCACCCCTCCAGCCCTACGCTGGAGGGAATGTTATTCAATTACCACCGCTCCCCCCTCTGTTCAACAATCCTCCCCCGGGGATGGGGAATGCCGAAGGGGTCATGGCGCAGGACACCGCCTCCCAGGAGGCCCAATCCAGGGATAAACGTCCCTTGATGAAGGAGAAACCCCGGACCTCTGCACTCGAGAGGCTTGGGGGAGCTCCCATACGCCGAGGGGTCCAAGACCGCCTCGGCAAACAGGAATTCAACAGGCCTCAGGAGAGTGGAGCCTCCGCTTTGGGAGCCGAGGGCGTACCTCCACCCCGGAGCAATGGCAAAGCCCTCCTCCATGCCGATGACGCCAGACACCAGATCAACCAGGCGCAATCCTTCCGGGCCAACTCCCAAGGGGTTGCTCCGAAGGATCCCAAGGATGAGATCATTGAGGCCCTCCTCCGTCAACTTGAGGAGAATCGTCAGGCACCGCCGACGGCTTCCACAGCTAGACCAGATCCGGAATACGCTGACCTCCGGGCACAAGTGGAGGAAATGAGGCGTAAACTGGCCGAAGGCTCCGGTGAGCCCCTCATTCAACTCCGCACTAGAACACCCTTCACCCCGAGGGTGTTGGCGGCCAAAATCCCTCACAAATACCGGGGGCAACCCATCAAGCCGTATGAGGGGAAGACGGATCCCCAAGAGCACTATAGCCGTTACCAAAACAGCATGATGATGATGGGGGCATCGGATGAATACTTATGCCGTTGGTTCCTTTCCACCTTGGAGGGGCCCGCGTATGAGTGGTTCAACCGGTTGCCCGAAGGCAGCATTGATTCTTGGCAAGAACTTGCCCACCGCTTCCTCACACAATTTGCAGGGAGGCACCGTTCAAAGAAACACTTTTCCCACCTCCTAAACGTGAGACAACAAAAGGAGGAAACCCTTCGGAGTTTCCTAGAACGCTGGAGGCAGGCCTCCCTCGAGGTTGAGGGCGCCGATGACAGGACCCTGATGGCCCTCTTCCACACCGTCCTCCGCAACGGTAACTTCTCCAGGAGTCTTATCACTGATCCCCCCCGCGATTATACAAAAGCCCTCCAGCGGGGGGACCGATATGCCGAAGCGGAGGAGATCGAGAAGGACCGCCGCAACACGGATCCTTCCCAGAAGAATGAAGGCAGGAATCGGCCCGGAGGACCTCCTCCTCCGGCCAACCGCGAGGCTCAGTATAATGATCGCCCCCGAGGTGGCCAAGCCAGAACCGGGGGCGGTTACAAAAACAATCCGAAGGCATGGGCACAACCCGTCCTCCTGGAGCACCCACGCACTCCCTTGACGCACCCCGTCAGCGTCATTCTTGACCATGCGGAAGAGCGGGGGCTCGTTGAGCGGGACTCCCGCACACCCCTCGAGATCTATGCCATCGGCCCTGATGAGCCGTATTGCCGCTTCCACCGCCACCATGGACACAAGACCGACGACTGCCATCAGCTGAAGAACGCCATCGAGAGGCTGATACAGGCGGGCCACTTGTCCCAGTTTATCAGGGGCCCTCCGCCCCAGGGTCCCCCTCATCATCAAGGCCCTCCGCCGAAGGCAAACAAGTGGGTGAACCCCAACACCATTCCCTTGGGAAACCCGCATGGGAAGAAGCGTGAAATTGGCGGCCTCGAAGACGAGGGAGAGGGCTCCCATCAACAGTACAAGCGCCACATTCACATGATCAACGGTGGCAACACCGGAGGCGATTCTACGAGCCAAAGGAAGAAGTGGGCACAGTCCCTCTACGTTGGGGAGGTCAACCACATGCCCCCTACTAAACGGCCGAAGGCGGATCCAATTTTCTTCACAGATGCGGACCTCCCCTCGGGTTCTCTGCCGCATAGAGATGCCCTCGTCATCCGCACTGAGATCAATGACGCCATCATCCACCGGACTTATGTCGACACGGGGAGTTCTGTCAACGTCATGTACCTCAGCACCTTTCAGGAGTTGGGACTCGACAGGCGGTCCCTCCGACACATCAACACCCCCCTCTCCGGATTTACGGGGGACAGCATAGACGCCGAGGGCGTCATCACCCTCGTGGTTGAGTTCGGCGACGGATCCCATAGAGCCAAGCTCGAAGTGGAATTCGTCGTCGTCAACCTCGACTGCGCACACAACATCATCCTCGGCCGGCCCGCCCTCGAGGATTTGGAAGCCGTCATCTCTATGAGGCATCTCTGCCTCAAGTTCCCCACACCCACCGGCATCGGCTACTCGAGGGGGAATCAAAAACTCTCCAGGGCCTGCTACCTTCAACTTACCAAGAAGGTTAGTAAAACAGAACTACGTGTGGACACCATCACCACCAGGGCCTTGGAGGAAGAAGAAGGCAGGCCGAGAGCTGAGCCTGCCGAGGAGACCGAAGACTTGATACTCGATCCGGCCAAGCCGGAGAGAGTCCTGAAGATTGGAGCCAAGCTCCCCGAAGACTTGAAGGCTGGCATCACCAAAGCCCTCCGCGCCTACTCCATTGTTTTTGCATGGGGGCCGGAGGATATGCCGGGAATTGACCGAAGGGTCATCACCCACCGCCTAGCGGTGGACCCTTCGGCCAAACCAGTACAACAGCGGAGAAGACCCCTCTCGGCCGAGAGAAGGGAGTTCGTGAAGAAGGAGGTAGCCATGCTCCTCTCCATCAAACATATCAAGGAGGTGAAATACCCCTCTTGGTTAGCAAATGTAGTCCTTGCACAGAAGCCTCCTACCTTCCGCATGTGCGTGGACTACACTGATCTGAATAAGGCGTGCCCTATGGACCCCTTCCCTCTGCCAAACATTGATCAACTGGTGGATGAGACCGCGGGATGCGAAATCATGTCCTTCCTCGACGCATTCCGCGGGTATCATCAAATCTATATGCATGAAGAAGACGCTGAAAAAACTGCCTTCATGACACCCGAAGGCATCTTCTGCTACCTCGTGATGGCCTTCGGCCTCAAGAATTCAGGCGCCACCTACACCCGAATGGTGGCCAGGGTCTTTCAAGCTGTCTTGGGGCGCACTATGGAGGCCTATGTTGACGATATGATTGTCAAGAGCAAGAAGGCCGGCACTCACGCCGAGGACCTCCAGGAAATCTTCGCCATCATGCAAAAATTCAACCTCCGATTGAATCCAAAGAAATGCACCTTCGGCGTACAGGGTGGAAAGTTCTTGGGCTACATGGTCAGCCGAAGGGGTATTGAGGCCAACCCCGAGAAAATTCAGGCCATCATCAACATGGAGCCTCCGCGCAACGTCAAAGAAGTTCAACGGTTGACGGGTCGCCTGGCGGCCCTCAACCGATTCCTCTCTAAGTCAGCCGAGAGGGCCCTCCCCTTCTTCCAAATCATGAGGAGGACAGCTGGCTTCCAATGGACATCTGAGTGTCAAGAGGCCTTCGACGAACTTAAGAAGTACCTCTCTTCTCCCCCGGTGCTCTCCAAGCCGAAGGTGGGGGAGACCCTATACTTATACCTCGGCGTTAGCCCTGCGGCTATCAGCTCAGTACTAATACGAGAGGAAGACGGCATCCAACATGCCATCTTCTACGTCAGCAAAACCCTCCGGGAGGCCGAACTCAGATATTCTCCCGTTGAGAAGACGGTGCTAGCCA